TTGTGTAGTGAGTGTATGTGTTTGACTTGATCGTTGTTTGCCTTTTGCACACTATTTTTGAAGTCGCATGGGCGCTAAGCAGAGCAACGAAGAGCGATTTAAAAAAACCGACAATAAGAAAATGAGAGAGAGAGAGGGGGAGGGCAGCAAAAGAAATGGAGTACAAAAATGAGACGAACAAGAAAGAGCAGTATATGGTAGAAAGTTCCCTTTTTTTTTCTTAAGCATCCGACCTTGTTGAATGGGATAAAATAGAGTGGGGAGAGAGAGATGAAAGGGGAGACAGACACGAAGAAAACTGATCATAATGTTCTTTTACCATCATCAACAGCATGGCACGAATCGAGCATGCATACTGAGCGGAGCGATTGTTTATAGTTTCTTGATTCGGCTATGTTAGTCGATCGACAAAAAAAAAAGACAGACGAGCGAATGAACTGAGTGCTTTATCTCAAAGCCACTCAATGTCGGCTTTGTTATCGTGTAACTGTAAGAATAACAGCAGTCAGGCGAAAAAAAAAAGTGCTGTTCAAGCACGAGCCGCAAGTCATGATGTTGATTGAAATGAACAGCACATTTTCTTAGTAAGTGATTTAATAATTTCCTAACTCACTTTTCTACCAAATAGGATCGTGTGCCTATTTTCTTGCCATTTAATACCATTAAATCAAGCTATCTCAACGATTTTTTTTCTCCCTTACAGTTAGGTTTATTTTCAAGAAAACTCAACTAACTCGCATAAAAAAGGATCATTTTCATAATGTCATCTTAACTGAGCATAATAAAATATTAACTACTTAAATATGTATAAAATATTCATATAACTTCAACATGCAATAGAATCAGAAGATTGCCATTAAAATACGGATTCATTTTTGTAGCGTGTGAAGATATTTATCTTGAATAGCTAATGATGGATCATAATCAGCTTTCGTTTATGGATTGTCACGATAGGTTTTCTAATCATAAAAACTATCAGATATATTATACCAGGGATACATGTATTGTAAATAAAACCTACGTTCATGTCATTGATATTGACTCTGGCTTCTTCAAATATTTTATCATGAAAATATATTTAAGATTATTAATAATGAATGATATCATTCTATTTTTAACAGTACTCTACTGATAATGTTCGAATTATTCATTCAAATCAATAGATGATATTTTTGTTTTTGATAAAGACAAAATTTTTGATTAATGTAAATAACTCAATTTTTGTTATAAGATTTATGTCAAATATATCGAATAAGAATTTTACAAATAATCATCTAGATAAATATTATCTCGAGTGGTCTGCTATGATTATTGACATATGACAAAACTAAATATAGTTAAAAATATATTGTAAACAAAATACATATATACAAATATGAATCAATAAAGGAAAATCAAACCATCAGTAACATTCATTTCTTTCCATATTAAAAATATATAGAAAGAAATTTTTTCGAGTTTCTTTTTTTCATCTCGAAATTTTCTAATTACTCTGAAAAACTTAGAAAAATAATTACTTCACATTGAATCATTTCATTTATTTCAATTGAAACATTCGAACAAAGTAACATTACTTTTACATGAAATAAAAAGAAAAACAAAGCTTACGTGAAGAATACAACTATGTTATATATAATCTAGAATGAAGATTAACATAAAGAAAAAGAAAATTTTTTAATGATTTATTTTCATAAAACAAAGTTTCTTTTCATATGATTATCATTTTCTTACAAATAGAAATAACATGTAAAGTATTACAGCTGTGAAAATATAATAGTAAAATGAAAATGTGTATCACTCTTATATAAAAAAAAAAAAGTAATGTAGTGTACTCAACCATCAATCCGACGAAAATCCGGTGAAGTTTATGTAGACGATCATGACGATGATGATGATTATTCAATTTTTGTTAATAAGTTATTTTCATTAGATTCTTTTGAATAATTTATCATAAAATTTCGAAAATACCCTAGTTTTTTTTGTATATGACTGATGTGACATTGTCCTTCGAATTCGTTAATAATTAAATAAAACAGATAGTAACAAGATTGATACGCTTCATTAAATCAGAATTTTTTTTTTCAATAAGACCCATTATTCGCTTGATTTATTAAGCTATTATTATAGGTTTTTTTCGCATCTAGATAATAATACATCGATGATAATCGATTATCCTTTGTCTTCGATAAACACTATTGATGTGCGACTTTTATGAAAAGGGAATATAAATCTTATTTTTATCCATAGATGAAAATAGAGCTGACATAAAGCAACAAGAAAAATTTTTCATTGCCTTTTTTTATCGTTTACGAAGCTTATTTACCTATTGCCACATATATATATATAAATTTCGTTCGGCATATCAGCACGTAAAGAACGAATAAACGAAATACAGAAAAAAAAAACAAAAGAAAACAGAGCAGCCATAGTTAAGTACTACTACTTCACATTATAAAACATTAATCTGACTATTTACTTCCCGTGTATCAGAAAAGTAATATTAGTTAAAGGAACGAAAAATACTTGTAACAGCAGGATGAATTCACAGCATTAAATTAATGTTCTTTGTCGATTATTCTAATGAAATTATCACATTTTACTGACGTCAATAAATATAGAAAATAGTACGACCAACATGTCCGATACTTCATCATATGTACCAATGAAAGGTGAGTAAAAGTTTATCTTTTGTTCACTTTATATTAGTATTGTTTGCCAGTAAAAAAATATTTTATTATCTACTAAAATTATTTTTTCTCTTTCAAAAACAAAACAAAAATGTAACATATATATTTTATAGCTATCATTTTTCTCTTTAGGAGGTGGACATAAAGAGGATCGACGAATACAAAATCTAATTTATCGTAAATCAAAACTTGAAAGTGTTAGTGAAACATCTGCATTACTTAGTGGATTTGCTATTGTAAGTTATTTAATAAATATCAATTGAATTTTTATTTCAAATAGTAATTAAAGGTAGCCATTGTCGAATTATCATTAGATTCTTATAAAGAAAATAAATCTAGTGAAACTCTTATCATTTTTTATGCTATTATATCATGTCTCTTAGTAAGTAGTCATTTACTTGCTTTACTTATGTCAATGTGTATATTACCTGAATTAAAAAGTGTCATACGGTATAGTGATGTTTGGATTAATAATGAAAATAGTAAACCATTATCATCATTAAATAAATATATTGAAATAGCATGGCTTATTTCTACTGGTTTTGGTTTATTTTTATTTATACTTGAACTTGGTTTAATTTTTTGGATTAAAGTGAGCGGATTTTCTCAAACAGCAGCTGTTGCTGCTCTTATTACATTATGTATTATTGGTTGTCCATTTGTTTTATTTGCTGTTGGTTTTTATTTTCGTGTAGCTAGAGCAAAAGTTTATTTACATCAAACTGATTTAGAAATAATAGAACGTAGTGCTATTGCTCGTGGTTTAGTTAGCAATACTCCGACTATTCCACAAACAACATCAAGAGTACATATAGAAGATTCTTGAATATACTTTCAAAAAAAACATAGACATCTGTATAAATAAAATATAGATGAGTAAAAGAGACATTATATTTGTTTGCTCATAAGATATGGCCTTTATCAAGATGCATCGTGAACTTTTGCAAAAATAAGATAAAAACAATCGCTGATCAAATTATATCAAAGATAAATCAGAATTACTTAGTTTATTTTTTATTTTCTGTTCAAAGTCATCTTTTTTTCCGTTTCTCATTTTTCGTTTATAATCCGCTCGTTCTAATATTCGTGAGTTTCTTGTTTTTTCTCGAAACCTTCTTTTTTTTAAAAGCAATATTTAATTCTTGTGATTTAAATCTATACTATTTTTCAACTAAATCGATAAGATGAAATTTTAAAGATAAATCATCTTTTGATAATAGAAATGGACGTATTGCTTTATCAACTATTAGTGTCACACGTACATATTAAGTAGTTCTTATATTATTTTAATTGTTTGGAAAATTGTCATGTGGTAATCGATCATCCCAAACAAGTAAACTTCCTTTTTTGAATTAACATTTGTTGAATATGCTCTGAAATAGGAGAAGGGATTCCGAGATTTATTTATTCTAGAGGATTTATCTATTTCAAGCACATATTACTTTTGAATTGTATCGAAATAGAACTATAGTACTCATGGATCAGCTTTTATCCTCATCCTAAGCTAGGTGCCTGTCAACAACCTAATTTCTGCCGTATGATAATAAAATATATATAACAGAACTTATAGAAAAATCGAAAAAGATCCCGAAAAAAAAGTAAATCTTGAAAGAGCTGCTGAAAAAGGATCATCTTTTTGACATTTGAACTATAGTTGGATGTCCACTTTGAATTGCATTTAAACATCATTATTTATTTTGTTTAATCCATGTTTTAATGAAATATTGCAAACCAGACACTAAATAAAATCCACTGTTTTCTTCTCGACAATTAACTAAAGCTAATATTTATTGTAATGTTCTTATATGCGCATACCATTATTGATTGGCTTATTTTGCGCTACGAGTGGATCTGTATTACTATCAAAATGACCTTGAACAACATTTTCAAAGACGTATATAGTAACTCGACCTGTTAATGGATTCATATATAAATGAAGCCATTCTTATATTATTTTCTTTTCTTCTCAAACTTCTATTTTGCTGAGTGAAAGAAAAAAAATAAATTCTTTTTCGGTCGCATTAATCCAGTTCTTTTTATATTGACAATTAATTCATTATCACTGAAAAAATGTTTGAAACAAATGATAAATATTTTGATTTTGCCGATTATTACATGCTCGAGGATATAAATAACGTTCATTTTCAAGCTTCAGATTTGTCTCGTTTAATATTTTGACTGAACATTTCTTGTAAAATCGTTAAATTTTATTAACACTACGCTGACTCTCTTCTTCAATCAATACATCAATAAATTTATCTAAATTTTTTGTGAGAGGAGCAGATTGAAATATTTCATTATTACCAACTGATAAATGAATATTTAACTGTTTTGCTAACATACTACTTTCTCTATAACCCATATGAATATTATAAATAGCGAGAAATAATTTGAAGACAATTAAATATCTAAAATATCCATAAATTTTTACATAAAAGACTTTTTTATGACACTATTATATGGCATATACATCCAACTAAATATGATTCATAAAAGAAAGAATATATTTATTTTGCAATGATAGGGAATAAATCAAACACATGCTGTGAATTAAAACTGAAGTAAGTAATTTGATTACATAGTTCACTGTTAATTCCTGTTGTCTGTACAAGGTCTTAGCCTTCCTTTCACTAGAACATTGAATGCTAAATTAAGAAATATGATTGGTCGAAAAATTAATTTGAATTTAATACGTTTTTATATGATCGATTAAATTTAATGAACCAATCATCAAAAAAGAACTTGATCTACTAATTAAAATAGTAAACGTGTCTCGATAAAGTCACGTCGTAAACATGGATCGGGATGAGTATTTGACATAATACACCTTACAAATTACATTGAAATTAAGACTAAAAGATGAGAACGCAAAAAATAACTTTTAAGAACATTTTTGATGAAGTATATAACCAGACCAATAATTTCCTTGGTAATGAGTTTCGAAGTTGATTGATGTGTTTATTAACAAGGAAAGCCAAAGGCAATAACTTGACGCATGAGATGTGCTAAACTTAAGCACATTGGCTACATTTTTGCTGTCAAGCTTTGAAGTCTGATTGATGGATTACATTAATCGATGAAAACGGTCTAGTAACATCGAAACGGGAATAATTTGATCATCAAGTGACATTATGTGTAGTTTAGAAAATATTTTCGTACAATCTAAAAATAAGTCTTTTTAAAATTTTAGTGATTTTATGACTTGTTGTAAGAATAACATTGTGAGTAGTTAGGTGATAGTGTGAATGAAGAGAAAAATCTCATACACATTCACACCCATCTTTCCACATACTCTGATAATTCAAAGTAATATTTATCTTATGAATATGAACGATAGCCATCTCAATAAAAGAATCAATCTGTTTTTATTGAATTATTTTGATGATATTCAGTTTTTTTTGTTCAATAAAATAATTTTTAATTCAGTTTATACATTTATCTATGTCAATCGAATTAATTTATGAAAAAATCGTTCATGTTTTACTTCGATGTTGACATGATCTGTATCAGATTGTTTTAATTTTGAGACATTATCAAAAGGCAATTTCAGAATGTGTCTGAAGTGCTACCTGTAGTAACACATTTCTTATTTTTCAGTAGCTGATAGAGCATGTTCAATGAGATCTCGATTGTACTGTCTAGAATTTAGGATAATATACTTTCAATTTTAACTTTTATATTCATATTAGATTATCTTGTGGAACTAGTTGTCCTCCAAAATATTATGTAGCATATAATTAAATTGTATCTTTTTCAAAAATATTCTTTTACAAAGAAATCTATCATTGTTGATCATAGTCTATTTTCTAAAAATGTCAACATATTTCATATCATGCAAAAATGGATATTGATGAATGTATACTCTTTTTTTGAAATTTATTTCTTTTCATAGAATATGAATATTTTTTTTTTGTTTATAATAATTCATTGTCTGCTGCCCATATTAAATATTTTACTATTGGTATGGATAGCCTTTCTTCATAAATTGCATAGTTGACTAAAAAGCAAAAAATTGAGGTTGAAAGAAGAAAGATAAAAACTATTAAGTTTAACCTTACTGTAAAAATAAGAAAAGAAGCATTCAATAAATAAAGTATCCATTTTATATACACAACATTCAAACGAAGTTGAAAGCTACTGTCATTGAAATTTCATGACCATATTTCACATTCTTTATTTCACTTTGATGAGTCACTTAATTATTAGAATAATTCCTAATGTCAAAACAAGTATTTTCAATGCTATAAATGTTATGGAAGTGTTTTCAGAAGTCTGAATGTGCGAGAGAATTAGTTGATATACAAACAGTAAATAATCTGTAACTAAATACTTTTTTTTATATGTGCCTTGAGTACTGATGTCAATCTTTCAAGTGACATATTATTTAATAATATCTTCTCTTATAATAATAAAAATATAAACATAAGAATGTAAGGAAATATGTTTTCGCAATCGATTAATGTGACTTTTTTTGTTTTGAAAGATTTTTCAATACAATGTTGAATAATTCTACAGAAAAAAACAGCGTAGTAAAAATCAATAATTATTTTTCTTATTCATTTATTCGATGCTTTTCACAAGCCATATACTCAGTAACCAATTTGAAATGGATAAAATATATGAAAACATTGCGTGTAGAACGAAATGTTCAAAGAACAAAGTTTGTATTTTGAACTATCAATGAATTATTTAATAATCATGTTTTTAAGAAGATGATAATAAAGTTACTGACGTAAGACCTACTAAAAGAGTATATGGGAGAATATTAAAGAGAAAAGTACTAGAACAACAATTTTCAAGCTTTAAATATAGTCTTCGATTGAAAGGTATAAGGTACTGATCCTCGAAGTTGTTCAAACACAAGCTCAAAATTTTCATTTCGTTCCACTATCCCTACAAAGTTTTAGTTAAGATTATTCTGCTTAATATGACACATTGAATTCTTTATTCGATCATTAACATGTTTCCCATGTATTTTACAATTATAGCGTGTCTGTGCCTTGGCAAATAAATCTAGCTGGAAAACACGATTTGATTTATGGAAAATCTGACTAGGCCAATGGATAGAGCTCGATGAGATGTACTTAGTACGATTTTCTCTCTTGAAGTTTTTCTTAATTATCAATTGCAATAAAGAATGTACACTTATCTCATTAATCTCATTCCAGGCTTTCAAGTTCTTGTTGACAGGAAAACCAATAACTCTACAGACATCTTGATGATTGCAAATGCTATTGCTTTCAGTCGACCTTATTATTTTCTTTTTTAAAGATTCATTATAATACTTGTTCACAGTGTCTCATATTTAATATTTACATTGATTATTTACTTAATAAAATAAAGAAAAACAATCAATATTCATTTTCTTAAGTTCTTTAAGTCGATTTTTAGTAAGATTTAAACACAAATGTATCACATAATTCGAAAAAAAAAGCCTTTTTTGTTTTAATTTTAATTCTCATTGTTTTTTTGTGTTTCTTGTAATGGTAATAAGGTTTTCATTAGTAGTGTATTGTGTAATAGCTTGTGAGAAGATAAGAAATAGATATATTATTTCCGTGATAATAAAGTTTATACTAATGATACACGATATTGAAGTGATGATTGATTGATGTATGTGTAATATCACTGACAACAGTTATCTTAAGTATGACGTATGTCTGCTGATTAAATAGGTTTTATTTAAAATAGATTTTTATCTATCTTGAAACTTGACTTTGTCATTGTTACAACTGTTTTTAATAATTATATTACTGGTCTCTTAATTAAAATATTTAATATATTGTACTAATCTTTCATTCTGTTTATATTATAATAGAAGTTGATTTCTTTATATTTTGCAGAACTTTAGTTAATCTCTTGTACATTATTTTATTTTTCAACTCGATAATTTAATACATTTTTCTTTATTCGAAATTCTTGTTGAAGAAGATTATTGCACTATTTTAAGGTTCTTAATGTGAAGTTTTAAATAGTCAACATGATGATCATATTTATAGTAAAACAATCAACCGAAAAAAGAAAAGAAAAATTTATAAAAATTAAATAAAGAATTATACAATCAAAGAAACATCTAACTTTGACTTATCTCAGTGATAAACTGTTGTTCAATTCTATTTTAGACTACACCGAGGTCAAACAATTGGATGGTAAGATGTGATAAGTTGGTAGCTACATCTGATTTTATCTTATCTTACAAGATCAGACGGAAATTGTACGAAAAATCAGCATCTCTGACATCTTACGCAAAATCGTTTAATAAGATTCTTGAAAGATCTTACTGCCTTGTAAGATATCCTTATAAGATTATAGAAAAACTTATGTGTTGGTAAGCTCAATCAAGAATCTTATTCTATAATACAATGTAAGATTTCAGAGACGATGATTTTTCGTACGAATTCTGTGTGATTTGCAAAAACCTAACATATGATCTTTTTTTATCTGAGTTTAGCTATTAAGTATATTTCCAGCGGCAGAATATACTTAATTGTATGAGAATCAAATTATAATATAAGATCTGGCAGATGAGAAGGACTATAAACCATGCCAGAGCACTCATCAAGCAGAAATCAATAAAAAAAAAAAAAAAACATCAACAAACAATAATATTTCATTAGTCAAGTATTAAATAAGTCATTCTTGTGTATAGATAAGAATAGTTTTTTATTAAGTACATACTACATGAAATGAAAGATAAAATTAAAATTTCGATCAATAATTTTTGTTTAAACAGAAAATAAAATTAATAATAAATTTTTATATACTTTTATTATCATGGTTCAAGTAAACTTTCAATTAAATTTTCATTTGCAGTATTGATATATAAAGAAGATCAAGGCTTACATTTTTTTAGAAAAAATAAATACATGATAATCAAATGGCATGTTATTTAAACAACGAATATGTATTAAATATGACTTTTTGCTTTTATATATGCATTAAAAAAAAAATTAATCTTTGATTTCACGATATTTTTAACTAGTATAGGTCAAAGAAAATTAATTTTCTTTTGTCTAACAAAAGAAAATTTTATCAGAACAAGACGAGAAAAAAAAGACTTCACAGTTAACGAATTGATACATCTAATTTTGTTCTATTGATTAAATCGTAATGCTTCATCGATTATCACATCAGAGATTATAAAACAACAAGTGGATATGTCTGATACTTCATTGCATTTGTCCGGTAAAGGTTTGTAAAACATGCATTTTTGTACACGTATCGTTGGCAATGCTTCTCATAAAGATATTGTATCGTCACCTAACAAAGGTGTTTATAATATTCAAGATAATATATATCTAACAATACATATGAACGATTTCTTTTATATAACAGTATATTTTTATATGTAGGAAAGACGACACATCAAGATGATCAACGATTACATAATCTTTTCTATCGTAAATCAAAACTTGAAAGTGTTAATGAAACATCTGCATTACTTAGTGGATTTGCTATTGTAAGTTTATATAATGAAAAAAAAAACAAAAAAACAATGAGATGATTTGCTTTTCAAAATTTTTCGAATATTTTTTCATAGGTAGCTATTGTTGAATTATCCCTTGATGCATATGCAAGTCGTAATGCAAATGATGGTCTTCTTATATGTTATGCCATTGTTTCATGTTTACTTGTTGGTGTTCATTTACTTGCTTTACTTATGTCAATGTGTATATTACCTGAATTAAAAAGTGTCATACGTCAAAGTGATGTTTGGATTAATCATGAAAATAAAAAACCATTGTCATCATTAGATATTTATATTGAAATAGCATGGGTTATATCTACTGGTATTGGTCTTTTTTTATTTATACTTGAACTTGGTTTAATTCTATGGATTAAAGTCAGTGGTTATTCATTTACAGCAGCTATTTCAGCAATTGTAACATTATGTATTGTTGGTTGTCCATTTATTTTGTTTTCTGTTGGTTTTTATATTCGACTAGCAAGAACAAAAATTCATTTACATCAAGCAGACTTAGAAACAATAGAACGTGGTGCTATTGCTCGTGGTCTATTTCTCAATCAATCTGCACCATTGACGGCAATGACAAATGTTGAAGATGTTCGTTAAATATAATGGTACAAACACAAAAAAAAAATATATAAATTATGAAAGATCTGTAACAGTTGTTTTCAGTACTCATTTTACGTTTTGACATTGATAAAAAATCAAGTCTACATCTAGCGCCTCTCGTTTATATATAGTAAATTTGATATGTTTTTTTGATCATTATTATTTCTTAAAGACTGGATGGCATCAATTGCTTTCTCAATGAAAGAAAAACAACCCATTGCAGAAAATCGAAGGCCAATAATAAGGAAAAAACGTTTCTTTTTTTTTTTTTTTTTATCCTACGTATAATGTGTTGATTTTCAAATCAATTTAATAATATTCGTATATTTTTTATCAAGTATAGAAAAACTTACTATCACTTGTTTATAAATTATTTATAAGAATTTTTTATTGCTGTATCATTATTATTTTTTAATTACATGAGCATATAAATAATTGGACAAAAAATGTTCTACTTTTATATTCTTATTTGTTTCATTTAATTTGAGTCATATCAATATTTTTTTTTATGACGAATATATGAGCGTGGGAAGTATGTCATAGTCGATGCAATCAATTTTAATAGAAAAAAAAACGTTTCAACATTGTCGATTGAAAGCTTGTAACAAGTTACATTTACTTCATACAACCTCAATTTATGATTTATAGAACACAACGGGTTACATCGACATAGCAATATTGAAGGGCACTATTACCTGTTGTCATTCGGAGAAAAAATATCAATATTAAAAAAATAGGCATGTTATCAATGAAATCAACCGTAAAAAATATAGGAAAAATAAATTAATTATCTATAACATTTACTAGATTGCTTTAAATGCATGTTTGTCTCGATTCTAGAAGCAATACAAATGAATGACTGAATGAATGTGCGTATGTATTAAAGGAAGAAAGAAAAAGAATTTGCATTTTGTTGCATCGATTGTTAGTACTTGAGAAACAGAGCATGAGAGAGAGAGAGAGAGGAAGAAATGAAGGTTTGCATACGAAAATATACATCCCTTTGATTGTCTCAAGAAGTATGTACATGTCCTTGTCGTCGATTGTAATGCCTGCTTGCATCCGCAAAATATGGCTAATGGGATGTAGGAACCGATCGACAACGCTGACAACAACGAACAGCATTCACATTTCGTATATGTAAGTACATGGAGACATACATACATTCAAATGCAAAAGTGCTTTTCAATCGACAAACAGATTTATGTAATAATCATTAATGATCAAATGTCATAGTTCACGATGCAAACACATATTATAACAACGATTTATTTGTCACATTTGAAATACTGCATTTTTATACTTTCTCTTTTCTTCTATAAAGAAATCAAGTAATAGTTTAACAAAATTTATCTCGATATATTTTTGTTGAATGAAACTCCACAATGATAGAGACTGTCAAAACAGCTGTCGATCAATGAAGTAAGTGACATTGCTCATATGTATTTATACGTATGTCTTTTGTTAAAGTACTTCTATCTTTCTCTTTCTCGTATATCCTCATTATATAAACTGACTTCCTGCCGTTGCAACAGCAGCCTAGGGCTGTTATATTATCCAATGAGGTTGTAAATTGGGTATATATACTATATTATACGAAATGAGAAGAGAGAGAGAGAGAGAGAGAGAGCGCAGGAATGCTTTATCCATTGCTCCTTCTCTCCCTCTGTCTTTTGCTTTTTTTCTCTTACTTCTAACCACAAAAAAAATGTATTATAGTTTTTTTTTCTTCTTCTTCTCTATTCTTTACCATCCATATAATCGAAGCTGGTAGGTTTGGTAGCCTATAACAATTATCATAATTCCCTTCTGTGAGAAGCATATATACATACATATACATACTGAACACATACACGCGCGTATATACATCTATGCTTATATGTATATATTAGGTCTGAAAGAAGTAGGAGTTTATTTAACCTTTTACCCATGGACAATGATGTGGTACCAGTCGGTCTCCTAATTCTCCCCTTTTTCTACTATTCATGTTGTATTGGTAATCGGTTTCATTTTTCTCTCTTTTTCTTCTATCAAGTTTCGATTTTGACGAATGAGAGAATGAATGAGTAGTAAGGAAAAAAAACACATCAGAACATCAACAACAGAGAAAAACCGCTTCATACATTGATTGATTAGAAAGCAGACGGCAACTAGAAAAAAAATCTGAAAAGAAAAAGAAATTATGGTATCCAAAAAAATCTATTTAAAGTCCATTTGTTGCGGTTTCATGTGTCAACGATGATTATCTTTATACTAAATGATTGCAAAATTATATTCAGACATATTTAAGTATAATGAATTAATATATAGTACGGTAAAAACTAACGTTGATCTATGAATTTATAGTTTAATAGATGTATATTGACAAAAGAACGACAGCACCTACTTTTATTTATTTATTTGCATGTTTTTACACCTACACAGAAAAATTTTATTTCAATGATTAGTTTTCAAGTGTTATATAAATTTATATTTATGAATTATTTTCTTTTTTTCTTTTATTATTTTAGATGTTATCTTATTACTTTAGAAAAATATTCATTTAATAATTGTTCGATTAGCTCTTGGTCATTATATAACGTCGTTGTGGACATGCGAATATCCGATCGCCATGGTTGATTTAGACCATGTTTGGCAACTTTATACATCAGCAATTCGTCGCTATTCGACATTTATTCTTTTTTCTTTTCTTCCATTTAACATTCCTAATAATAATATCATCATCTAATATGGTACAATCACCATTTTATGTTCATTATGTTCATCGGCATCCTCATCATCCTTCACTATCATCTGTATCTACAATGATGGATACAAACTTTTTAGAATCCCTTCTTGAACGTTCACGTGCTCAACGTGATACATACGATGAACGACAAAAACTTGTATCAACTTATAAAATCATATCGAAAACTCAATGTTTATTACAAATGCGTCCTATGGACGGTTATGTTAATGCTAAACATGTGACGAATCTTGATGATACACAAGAAACAAAAGATGGTAAGAATCACTCAAAATAAAACATAATATTATTTAGACTCTACAAGGACATTAAACAGTAAAAGACCGTGGAGTATATACATATATATATATATATATATATACTTATGCACATGAGAGGATAATGTGTATAATTGCGTCAATTTACACATAGAAATTCTGTAGATGTGGCATCGACCTTGGCTCTTATTCGTCATATGTTGAATAAAATAAAGCGAGATACTAATTGTTCTAGACCCCTGTCAGTGAAGAAAGACACTTGTTGGACGCCTTGAGAGAAAGACGAATTTTATCTTGTCATCGTCTATTAACTATCTATTATCGTTTGGGCTATTTTTTGAAGGATAATTCATCATATTCTTTTTTTCGTACAGTTAGGTGCATATTCATGGTCGAAAGTATGCAATTTAATTAACTAAACTATCCATAATGTTCTGTCAAATGCATATTTAAGTGTTGAGAGTAAATAAAGGATTTTTGACCTCTACAAATTATGTATTGTCTATTAAAATAAAAATCGAATGATATTTTCTTATTAGAAATCTATATGTCAATCAGTCTCGATTTCCAGGGAAGAAAAACAATGGTTGACTTGTTATATAATTGATTCTAGTAATCTTTACGTAAAATCCAGATGAAATTAATGTTAACATGCTGTTGTTTTTTCTCCTCATTTGTTGTCTCATTGGTGATCATATAACTTGATTGACACGAACACGTCTATGATAAGTAAGAATACGATAGTTATTTCTTTTTTTCTCTATTTTATTGTTAGTTAAAATAAGCTAGCTTTATATTTATTATCATAATACATAAATCATTCTTTCATTTCACTTTGATAATCATTGTCTTGTTGTCATTTGTCGTGTGTCATTTTCTTTTTGCTCGAATTTCTGTTAGTAGCTTCTTTTCTTGCTTCGAACACCTCATCAATCATATAATAAACGGCAAAAACAGCTGATCTAAATAGCCTTCTGAAACTTGTCGACACTCTCATTAACCCTCCTATATATCCAATGTCTATTAGTTGTCAGTAGTCTCCAGGGTTGCTCACAATTGTCGTCTGGATGTATAAGGATATTTGCATTGAGACGGCGTCGTTTTTTTGTAGATGATAAATTGCATCAATGACGACTGTTTACAGATTGTTGATGGACGAGTTTTACCACCTAATACAAATATAACTATGTCAGAACAGAATAACATGCAGCCTTTATTGGTCTGGAAAGTATCATTCAAAGAAAACAGAAATATGATTCAATAGACATGACATTTTTTTTTGTCTTTCTCTCAAAAGGACCTGGAAATAATCATAATAATAATCAATATTATTTTTCTAAGAAAATGAGAAACCTAAACAAAAACTAAAAAAAAAAAGAAAAAAAAAAATTCATATAAATATACTATTTTTTGATAGGTATCTTTGTATTTCTTCCAATTGCTGTCAATCTTTTTTTAATACAACATAAAGAAAGTAAACGTTATTTATGTGGTAAAGATAATCAATTATTTGGTCTAGTAAGTATAAAAATACATATATAGATAAAATAAAATAAAAATCCTCGTGTTTTTTTTTTCCAATTTCTATCTCAGACGGAACGAAACGAACGTCAATGTGTATTTGAAACAAAACGTTCTGATATTGATTTTGGTCGTTGGGATTCCTATCGACTTTTCTATGAAGAAGCAAATCGCGGTTATTTATCTATTTCACATATGTGCCATACAAGATTACGTCGTAAATTTGATAATGATAATTTTCTAAATTTTCTTGCTTTTGTTCGTATTAATACTGATATATCTTCGGATACAGCTGCTGCACGTCGTATAGTTGATCAACAAAATGATTCTCATAGACAAAAAGTGAAAAATACTAATCCAATAAATAATAAGTCACCAAAATTGATAAGTGATTATCGACAACGTTTTCGATTTTCTCTAACAACAACAACAACAACAACAACAACAACTACTACTACTACTACTACTACATTTAGGCCAATACGAAGATTAACTTTTTCTCCTACATTAGCACCATTAAAATCTTTTATTGTTAATGTTCTCAGTTCAACACATAGCTTAAATTTACCATTAACGACACGACGATGGCGTTCAAGACGAACTCGTCACTCCTAATTTTCTGTTTCATTTGTCAGATTTGTTTTTCATCTATGATTTATGAGTATGAGTACACCATCATTGAATTAGTCGATGACGCTCTTGAATTCAAAAAATTATTTGAGTAGGCAATTGTAGTTGTCGCGTCTTATTATAGGTCTTAATGGGGTTGTACCAAAGCGAATTGTATTTCTTTTGTTTTTTTTTCTTTGTCGTTTTCTAGTCTTTTTCTTCTTTTTTTTTTGAAAATAACTTTATATTCTCAGTGTTGTTTATTTCTTTCGAAATCTTTTCATTTTGTTCATTAAAAAGAAAGATATATATATATATATAAATATAGACTAAACCGAACAAATAAATTCTATGAATTTTTTTTTTTTTTTTTGTTTTATCGACGTTTTTTCCATGTAGTATTTGATGTTGCCTTGGATTTAATATCAAGAACAAGATCACCTTTTTGTTTATGAATAAAATTATAGAGTAATGATGCTTGTTTAGAATTTCCCATGATTGTTGTTAATTCATTTTCACTCAATTGACTTAATGCTCGTAAATTTTCAACTTTATTCATTATTAATTTATAATTTTTAAATGTTACACCGGGCATACGAATTAAAAGATCCTAAAATATTAAAAATGAAATTTTCTTAAAAATTTGACATAAAATAATACCTGTACAACGGAATTATATCGTTCATCATCATCAAGTAATTCTGATTCAGCTGTTACTAATAAAGCACTTTTTGTATCAGGTTCTTCTCGATCTCTCTAAACATCGAAAATAATATTTATTCATAATCAATTTATGAAAATTTATATACTTTAAGATCTTCAAATAATTCTGCACTAGCATGCGGTGATGGACACCATAAAATTCTTAATTTTGGAAAATGCATTGTTAATAATGCTAATTTTGATGTTATATCATGTGAACTAAATTCTGATGATGAATTATATCTTTGTTTGTTCTATTCAAAAAAAAAGAAAAAAAGAAAATAAGTTCAATAGAAATAAGAAAAACTAAATTTTTACAGCAAGATGAAATGCTTGTTTTTGATCAAATTCAATAAGTAACATTGCTTTTTTATAAAATCTTGTCATTTGTAATGCTTGTTGATATAGTCGACCATTATTTAATGAACCAACTAAATCCGAAACACTCTTTCTTTCAATACATATTTCAGGTGTTAAAATATAATCTCCAACTTCAAGTGTAACTGGTTCTATATCAATACCACGTTTCCATATTAATGATGGAAGTTCACTTCGAAATTCACGCATGTCAACAATAACCTTAATAAAAAAAATAAAAAAAAATAAATATTCAATTTGTTTTTTAATATGAAAATTAATATGGATACTTTAGGACGAATATTTGAAATTGTTGTCATAGGAAATAAACCACCACGTCTTGTATCACTTTGATCAATGGTAGATGCTGCTCCAGTTCCATATGCTTGTTGATTAGCTGGAGTTGGATCACGACTTAATAATGGATTATGTTCATCACGTCCTTCACGTTCTTCGGGTATTACCATAGACTGAAATTGAAATTCGATTTTATTTTTACTATTAGAAAAAAATATGTATATGTAAATCATACAGCTTTTTCTCGAATAAGATTTTCAAAAGCTTCTTTTTCTTTTTTTACACTTAATAAATATCGCTGTTCTTCAATCGATTTTCCATAAAGAAGAAAATAAATACGTAATGGATGTTCAGAATTCGTTGCTTTGAAAACCTTTTGAAAAATTATAGAAAAAGTAAAACCAAAAAAAATTCAAAGTTTTTTTATTTTTAATCATTTGTTTTACTTCAAGTTGTCGAACAAATGTTAATGATGCATCATATAATATAACAAAACGTGGACGATATTTATGTAAAATTTTTCCCAATACAAAATGATTATCGATATTTCCACTAAATGGATATAGAATTGTTGTAGATGGACTTGTGGATCCATCATCATCTTCAATGACGTAACCACCTTCAATCTAAAAATATTTTTTCATAGAAAAAATATTAAATTAATATCAATTTTACCCCTTCTATTTCAGGTTTATTATCGACATTGGAATTTCCGTTTGATTCTTCTTCTTTTCTATCAGTTGTCGTTTGTGCTTTCTTTTCCTAGATAATTTATAGACAAAATTTTTGAGACATATTAGAATCCAAGCTGACATAGATATTAAGCTTGATATAGTCGATAATGATAATATACTCTGTTATTTGACTTTTACAAAACAAAACATCTTTATATTTTCAATTAAAAACTAAATTTTGAAACTTTTGTTTCCATACATGAAAAAAATAAAGTTGTGTCATTTTTTATATAAATTATTTATTTGTTTGTTTTTTTTTTTTTACTTTTCTTGATATGCTTAATTCACTTAATAGTAAAATTTTACCGTTGTTTTTTTTGTTTCACTTTCTTTAGTTGTTTCATTCGTAGTCGATGCATTAAGAGTTTGCTCTAACAAACGTTCGAGCATAACTCTTCCACCTAATAAAAGATACTATAAAAATTAATAAAATATTAGATTAATTTGAAGATTTCGAATAAATTCAAACTTGTTTCAATTGTGAACATGCTCGATCTTCTGCACATACAATTAATGTAACTGGAGGTCCTAATAATTTATTATCTTCATTTTCTCGAATTTCTTGAAGTACATCAGAGACAAGTTTTAATTTAGGATTTTCTTCAAGTTTTGGTGGTTCTTCATTTTCTTTTATTTGTTGAACTTGTTTTTTAGCTGATTCACCAAATACTCGACATTTCGATGCCTAAATAAATACTCATAAAATAAAGGCATCGATATAAGTAGTCAATAAAAAAAAAAACAATATATGTAAAAGATCAGTGTAATGATTGAATAATCAATATTTAATTAGAAAACAGGTAGTTTATTATATAAAAATATCAGTAAATTGTACGACTTTGCTAAGTAAAAAATATAGATTTTATCGGTAAAAAATTTTAATTTATTCTATGGAATATAATTTAGTATACAAAAAAAAAATAATTTCAGTAAATAAAAAAATACATGAGAAATGAACAAAAAAAGCATTAAATAGAAATTTAAAAAATCAAAGAAGATGAAAATTAAATTATTATACTACTAAAACAATTTTAGACTTTGCTGATCTATCTCTTTTCTTTTCTTATCTAGCGCAATTATCTTTACTTAATATGGTAAACATAAGTTCGGAGCAATTGTATTTTTAAGTTTTCTTCTCAATAGTAATAGATAGCAAAAAGCTGAAAAAAATCTCTATCAGAATTGATAGACCTGAAGTCTTCAGCAAAACTGTTTGGACGACGATCTGTGCAAAAACAAGAGCCTCAAGACCAGTTTTCTGACTTCTAGTCGAAGCTTTTGTGAAAAGATTTTTTTGATAGAACAAATAGTTGTAAGCTAAATGCGACGTCTACGGTCTCTCCATGACCTTCCTTCATCGAATTACATCCAATTTACAGAAAAGCCCTAAAGCGTCAAACGTATTGTAGTTTCTAATACAAAAAAGAAAAAATTGCCGGTTGGTTTTTTTTGTAGATTGAATGCAGCTTGGTAAAGGAAGGTCACTGAGAGATCGAAGACGTCTCGTTTTGTTCCAAATTATTTACTCGATCAAATAAAAATTTTTTGTCGGAAATTTCGAATAAAATCCAGAAAACTGATTTTAAGGATCCTGTGTTTTCGAAGACCTTCATCCAAGCAGTTTTACCTAAGTCTTGGAACCTACAAATTCTAATAGACAATCTTTTCAGTTGCACAATTGTTTTTTTCAGATTCTTGTTAGCTATAACTATCGAGAAGAAAACTAAAAAATATAGCTGATCTAAACTTTAGTCTGTTACTATGTAATAAACTGTTCTTACATTTTCTATATAGTTTATATAGTATTTTGACCATTGGCTTGGAAATAATACTTCTGCTTGATTAGTATTATCAAATAAAGCTTCTTTTACCCAGTATTTTGATTTTTTTTTGGAAAGTCTTCCATAATCTTTTCATCTGATAAAATCATTTTCATATTAATCAACTTGTTTCACATGCATCTTTTGTTTTACTCATTAACATTAAACTGAACTTGAAGGAAAGTATAGGAGCAAAATATACATATATGTAATTAGTACAAATCATCTGTACTACTGTTTAGTATAAATGACGACGGAAAAATAAAGTGACTCACAATATAACGCATTTCAATTTCTATATTTACCTTTCGCTGTATTTACTACTCTTTAAGGCCCCCCCCCCTCTCAAAAAAAGTCAATTTTCGTCAAAAATTCCGAAATTGAGATAAATACATGGGGAGATAGCCCGTCATCTGCTCTTTCATAAACGATAATTTGTTTTTCTCGTTACTTCATTTTTCCCAAAAAATTTTCAAGATTTCCGTCAACCCCTATTCGAAAAACCAGCTGTTTTTTGAATAATCAAAAAGCGTTTTCCGTTTTTTCTCGATTCACGATATCTCAAAAGCGCATCCCAAATTTCTCGTTCCTGGTTCGTTCAATGCATTAATATTTTTTTTTGTTTAAAAGACCGTCTCAAGGCGCAGAGCATGATGGGGTCATTTTTTTAAATTAATCCTTTGTTTGGTGAATATGCAGCCACTTATATGATTTGGTTACCATTTTTTGACACTTTTTTCAGTAATTGAACTTGTGATCTCTTTTCTGCGCTTAGAAAGGGACTATTTCAAAAAAACGACCCCATCATGCCCTGCATCTTGAGATGCTCTTTCCAACAAAAAAAATATATTAATATATTGAACGAACCAGGATCGAAAATTTTGGGATGCCAAATGAGTCATTTTTTACCCTTGTTTGGTTCATATCTCTCTAAAACCTGAAGATTTCTGGCTGAAAATTTTATGGTAGTCTCCCCTCTCCAGCCCCAACATATTCTGAAAGTTTAATGCAATTTGAATATTCCTGGGCTGAGATAGATTTTTGTGGGGGGGGGGGGGGGGGGGGGGGAGGGGAAAAAAAAAAAAAAATAATAAAAAAAATTACCAAAAAAANGTGGGGGGGTATGGGGGGGTTGTGAGCGTGGTGTGGGGGGAGGTGTGGGGGTGGGGGGGGGGGGGGGGGGGGGGGGGAGGCTCAAAAAATAATACAATTTCAAAAACTACTTCATTGAAATTGTATACTTGAATGCACAAGTAGATCTTGCATAAGGATCAATACTTTGGAAAAAAAACGCTACCATCAGCCTTTGACAATATGTCAAAACAATCGGCAAATTTCATTTTCCTCAAGAAATTTACTGTATACAAAAAAAAAATCGTTATCTCTAATACAATAATGTATACAGTAAATCAATAATTCAAAAGAAAAAAAAAAAAAGCTTATTGTGATATCTAAAGTGCTTAATTTATTAAATTTGTTTTTCTTGAATCAACAAAAAAAAAAAAAAAAAAGAAAGAAATTGAAAAGAAATGAAAAGAAAAGTCTATGAATCACCACTGAGTGGCTAGACATGTTGTTTGATTCCAATGAAAATTATTTTCATTGCTTATAGGTAATGTTGATTGATCATCTTCTTTATTATGATTATCAATATCATTCAATGTTGTTGTTGTACCATGTTGAATACTAGTAACAAAATCATAATGTTTTTCAATAAGTCCATTTGTTGTTGACATTGGCATAGCTGTTAAATCCGTATAATGTGGTGTATTATTACTACTATTATTATTTGTTGATGTTGTATTATTATTTAAATTATGTAATAAGTTTTCATTTGCTATTGATGATATGGATGATTGATCAATAGTTGAATGATCAACATCATGTGATGATTGTGTATAATATGATGAATAAAGTTCAGATTCAATAGCTGGTCGAAGTAGACCATATTGTTGTTGATCTCCAAAATTATTATTTGAATCATAAGAATTATATGTTTGTTGTGTATCAAAATGATGTTGATGATTGGAAAAATGTATTTGGGAATCGGGTGGATTATAAACATGTGATGTATCTTGTGAATATGTATTCATATAATGATAATTATTAAATTGTTGTTGAATTGATGGAGGAGGAGGAGGTGGTGGTGGAGGAGGAGGACAATATTGTTGAAGAGGATTATGATGATGATGATGATGATGATTGTAAGATGCAAGATGATGATGATGATGATGAGATGATGATAAGAAATTATTATTATCACTCATCATAGGTCCACTAATGCCTGAAGTATTATATTGTTTTTGTTGATGTTGAATTGATGTTGGTATTTGCATTGAATTCGGATCAAATGTTAATGTATTTTGTCCAAGAATATGATGCATTGTAGGTGTCTATATGAAAAATTTTGCGATGAAAATTTATTTAAAAAAAAAAAAAAAAATTATCAATTTACTTGATGTGAAACTTGAACAGCACGATATGCAGCTAATTGTTTAAGATATTCTTTTTTAGCTGCAGCTGCTTTACGTTTATATTGCTAATAGATTTAAAATAGTAATAATAATTAATATAAATATAACTTACTTCTTTAACTTCTGGTTCAATATTTTCCCACATATGAGCAACAACTTTTGAGATTTCTCTAGATATTGTTTTATTTCATTGATATAGAGTTTTTTGGTTTTAGTAATTTTAAAAATCTTACCCAAATGATGGATTAGCCAATTTCTTTTTGATATCATTCTGTGTATCACGAAAGAAAAGTGCATAGGGAGAAACTGGTCTAATAATATAAATATTATATTTATATTTTAAAACAATAAACTTCTTTTCTTTTTTTTTTTTAATTTACTTTTGAGGTTCATTGGGATCTTTTCGTTTCTTTTTTGGTTGTTTTTTTTTCTTAACTATTTTAGCAGCAACAGTAACATTCTATAAAATAAAATTTTATGACGTAATTAACTGAATAAAATGTTTCGTTTTATTTTGCATTGAAACATACTACTCCTCTATTGATAGATGATGGTGGTAGTGGTGGTGGTGGTGTTGATGTTTCGTCTGCATCACTTGTTGATGATTGTTGAGGTGAAAGAGAAGGATTTTCATGTTGATATTGTAAATGATGATGCATAGGATGTTGATGTAAATGAGTCGATTGTGTATACAACTCTAAATATAAGTACAAATAAAATTATTCTTATTTAAAAAAAAAAAATTGTATTAGATTGTGAAGATTAAAATTAGAAATAGTTACGATCATTTAAATCAGTGAATTTATCTCTAACGAAACGAAAGTGGCGATTCGACGATAATCGTAAATGACTTTGCTCATGAGAAAGATGACAAATATGTCTTGATAATTGATCTCAAGTTGAGTATTGAGAATATGCTGTTCTATTATACTAGACATACGTTCTCTATTCGTAACTATATTTATATAATATCTTGTGTATTCATAGACATTTTTTTTTTCTTCATCTATTTTATTATTCTTTAACTTGAATTATCATAAAAAACATATGCTAGCTTTTTTATATCTTCAAAGAAAGATGATTTTAATCGAACAATGAATAAATATCATCGATAAATTAGTTTAATATTCTTATCTGTTAGAAAAACAAAACAATGAAACAGATAGAGAACAAAAGAACTAAAAGAAAAATTTACCTGTATCATTTTGAGGTAATGGATTATCATTAGCATATATATGTTGCATTCTATGGCGAAAAACTCGATTTGTTGTTTCTTTTCCAATAACCAACGATTGTTGAATATAATTTGTCGAACGTCTCTTTTGATGAACGATCTAGATATGAAGAGAGAGAAGAAAAAAAATAAAGTAAAAAATAAAAGAATGTATGACAACAGAATTTCTTTTTTTTTTTTTCCTTCATCTTCTTTTTTTTTTTCATCATAGTGATTGCTTACAAGTTAAAGCAATCATTAACCACCTGTTATTCATACTCTTACTCTAAATTGTAGCTAATTTCATTATTTAAAAGACTTTCATATTACCGCCCTTCGATAAAATGAACAATATACAGAGCGATTATCACGTCAGGGAGTCTATACTGATCAATAAGACACGCACAAAATGAAGATCTTTTTCTTCTGATTTAAAATTCATGATAGAGAATTCTTACGTAAAAAAAAAAAATGTAAAATAAATCAGTTGAGACATATATAAAAAAAAAAAAACGAAGAGTCTCCTCTTATTAGCGTAAGAAATGTTCACTCAACGAAGACGACGACGACGATAAGAAGGGGAAAGGGTCATTTTCTTTTTTCTTCTTCTTTTTCTCGGCTATGCTTGAGTGAACATTTGTGTATGACCAGATCGAAAAACAAAGATATTCATGTGAGACGAAAGAAGAAGAGAAAAAACTCAATAGATGTGTTATTGTTGTTAAATAATCAATTAAATTTATAAATGAAAAAAGTAAGAAAAGAGAAGAAGGGAGAGTCATGCAAAGATTTCATAATACTACATTAGTTATTATTACGCAAGAAAAATTGTTCGTTTAGAAGAAGAAAACGAAAAAGAAAAAAAAAACTAAAATAAAAAGTTCTTACTTACCATGTTAACATTCGTCAATCATATGAACAAAATGACAAATCAATCATCACTCAATGATTATTCACACATTGGTTAATCTCTTCTTTTTCTTCTTCTTCGTTTTTTTCCATATTAATTCTCATCGGAAAATTTTCTATTTCACCAATCAGAATAGAAATAAGAAAGAGAGAAAATCTATGATTTATATGGATTGGCTGGAATTTTCTTTTCAGAGATACGAACAAGAAAAAAAAAAAGAAGAAAATTATCATTTTTAAAGGGCGATTTCCGTATAAACTTCCAAAACAAAAATATTATGAAGTATTGTAACAAAATAAACTGAAAACTTCACAGCAATATTTACAATAATGAAGCCAGGATTTTGGACTAGGAAGGATTCAACATAGTGTCGGATTTAGCGAATGGACACTGTCGATAATGCTCCTCTTCCAAAAGATTAGACAAGGTTCTTTTAATATACATTTTATATTCATAATCGCGCCACCATCCTATAAATATTCGGGATCGATCAATGATTCAAAGGCTTGTAGTGAAGGATATTCCCTCCGCTATCTGAATATTCATTGTCACTTGACATTATTTTTTCTATCTATGACAATGAGAGGAAAGTGTACAGTGAGTAAATAGATGTTAAATTTTTATTTGTATTTGAATTTTCTCAAGAATGTGATATAGAAAACAAAACAAAAATGGCTTAGATATTATGTATAAAAATTTTAAATCTTTTTTTTTTTTTTTTTTCTATTTTCTGACTGAAAATTATATTATCATAAAAAAAAAAAGAGTTTAAGATATTCGAAAATTTTCAATTAAAAAAAAAAAACTACACTGTTTACAGATATTCTGATCATATGATCCTAGATTATTATTTTTATCTGTTTAATATATGGTGTTTTTTGCTATTGACATCTTTCTCATTATTTAAGTTGTCTGCATGCCAGATCTTTTGTTATTCTTGAATAATGATTAAAATAACTGAATATGTATATATTTGATCTCAATCTTCTGACAGATACAATTTTGTTCTTGTTCATTATCAACTGTTCCGCCCATATTTAGAGTAATTCACATCTAAATATACACATACAATTTCCCTATTCAATTATCAGAGAAGCAAATCAACAAAGTGTAAACAGTGTTGATAATTCGTTATTCGATGTTAACTAAGCGAACATAACGGATAGAATGGAATTCTTGTTAGAAGAGTCGCTTATGCGTTCGATTCGTTAAATATAATGACATTTTCACATCAATTCTTTTTTTTTTTTTTTTCTTATACAAAAAAATCGAATAAATCAAATTAAGTGGAATTAATTGAATGTGAGTGCCATCATCGATCTTTCGATTTGTTTGTTCGAACATGCATAAATACATATCTTCAATTATCCGATGAACAATATTAGACAATTGAGTAACTTTTTTTTTCTTTTTTTTTTTCGTAAAGACGACTTAACACCCAAATCAAAAGTCAACAAAAAAATATAAATCGTTGAATCTCTAAGAAAACAATCATAACTAACTCGTGTCCGCCTATGCTTGTTTTCTTGAATAAACAAACTAATCAATGATAAAGTATTGAAATTTTCATAATAATATCTATATACACTTACTGTTGATCGTTGTTGTTTGTCATTATATTTAGATAGCTTTGAACTTTTTCTATATTTCTCGAATTCTAGACATTCTAGAAAAAAAAGTATCATCTATACAACTTCATTCAAGAAGACAGTAGCAAGTAGAAATGAATGTGTCTGTGTGACATTTGCAAAAGCTCAAATTCTTTTGTGTGGTTCTCCATTTCACCTTTTTTTTTCGTTCGTTTGTTCTTATTATCATACGTTATTGCTCTCAATTTAATGACAATTGGATCTCAATACTAGTCATATATATATATTCGTTTGTTTTTTATTTCATGTATATATAAATATATATAAACGAAAAAGAAAACGCAATACATAAATATAAGAAGAATAATCAATCGTGTATACAACGATGGAAAACAGTAGAAGAAGAAAATCTTAGGAATGTTTCACTATTATTTAAATGAAAAACACAAAATATCTCCAAAATTATGATATTGATGTTCGATTGCTATATGCAGCATAAGCACGTTGTGCTGCACTTGCTGTTGATGATGAAACCGTCGGAGGTGCTGATATAGTCACTGTCGATTGTTGATTAGTATTATTCTAAAAATGAATAAAATTTTTATGAAAATAAATAAATAAATAACTATTGAAATAAACTTAGTTTCCTTGCAAACACAATGATTTATCAATAATAACAAAAAAA